CCCCCCCCATACAGTGTCATTTCACAGATAAGATGAATGTTATCTGTACAGCACTGGCTTTACTACTTGCTAACAGTTAAGAGATTTAAACTGCAGCTGTAGTATGCACTACAGTCCTCTTGGGGGCGTTGTATGATCTAAAACATTAAACATAACATTTAGTCTGCTGACACTCGGCTCTAAACTGCGACCCCTAAATGTCCATATAAATCTCCTGTTCTCCACATCGTCCCTGTAATAATGCTATGAGGCAGGAAGCAGTTGTGCAGAAAATGAAGGTCTGCCCTGCAATAGACGTGGTCAAGATGGAGATGGTGCGTGTTAGTCAGTCCCGGCTGTAATTGCTCTGTTACATTTCACATCAGATTTTGATGCACTGATGCACATGCAGGGGGAAAATTTGCAGCTTTGTTACACAGAATTGCATTCTGCTGGTTGATTGCAAAATGATGTCAGATATAATTGACCTCTGCTTATTGACCCAGGGGACAGAGGTGCACAGGTGGGGGATGTTTGTGGCGGGAGAAATTGTGAGCCGAGTGTGAGCCACCCTGTGTGTGAGGACGATGTCTTTGTGATGTACACTCATCCTGTCTGGCAGTTGCAGCTGACATCATGACGCAAATGTTTGAGGTAAGCCGCAGCGTGTTCATTTTTGGCTGTGCACTTCTAAATCATGTCATCACACATGCACACACAGTATGCAAAAAATCAAACAACAAAAAAATCTCCAAGAACAGCGACATCAGCAGCTCTACACTCACTGGTCTTTTTTATTAATTCGACTGCTCATTAGCAGTTGAGCAGTTGAATTATCTGCTCAACTATCTAATCAGCCAGTCACATGGCAGCTTGTGGGCATAGAGACAACTTGCTGATGTTCAAGCTGAGCATCAGTGACTTTGAGCATCAGTGACTTTGAAGGTGGCATGTTGTTTATGCCAGATTAGTCCAAAATAAGAAAATATCTAGCGAGCAGCAGTTCTCTGAGAAAAAATGCCTTGTTAACGTCAGAGGTCAGAGGAGAAAAGCCAGGCTGCTTTAAGTTGATATGAAGGCAACAGTGAGTCAAATAAAGCCTTGTTAGAACAAAGTTTTGCAGAAGAGAGTCTCTGAATGCAGAACACTGTGATTGTAGAAACAGAAGGCCAAGAACTAAGAACAGGAAATTGAGGCTAAAATTTGCAAGAACTCACCAAAATTTGACAACAAAAGACTGAAAAACGTTGCATGGGCTTATGAGCCATGATTTCTGCTCTGACATTCAGAGGGTAGGGTCACAATTTGATGTAAACAACATGAAAGCATGAATTCATCTTGTCCAGGCTGCTGGTGGCAGCGTTGCGATACTATCATGTCAATATGAATCAAAATCTGAGAAATTTTGCCAGCACCTTGTTAAATTTGTGAAATCTATTCCACAAAGAACAAAGGCATCTAAAAGAGGCAAGAATGAACGGGATCCAACAAAGTACTAGCAAAGTTTTATTAATTTAGTATGTGGTAAATATGTATTGTTTATGCATTTCAAGAACAAAAGATGATAGTGTCTCAGTCTTTGAAATATATGCTTTTGAAATTGTTTAACTATTACTGTGCCAGATTAAAGAGTGTCCTTTTTTCTGTTTTACTCTACCTGTCTGACACTGTGTCGTGTTTTAGGATCCTTAATCTTTTGTATTGAAAAAATCTCTAACCTCTCATGAGAAAGGACCACGTGAGAAAGAATGCCATACTCCATACTGATAATGTGATCACACTGGGATTGTCTATCATATTGCCTGGCATAATTTCAATAACTATTAAACTTTAACTAGCTAAAAGCATTTTCTCACTAAATTTATATTTCCAGGTTTCTGCTGCGGGTTGCTTGAAGCCAATCTTAAAGCCATGCATGATCAGCAAAATAAGAGTGGCATCAAATGGCAGATGAATAGCCGCAATTCATGTTACCTACAAATAAAATGTATCATTTTTTGTAGGCACCAGGCCAGTGTTGCCAAAAGGAGAACACATAACACCCGTGCTGTCCATGTTTCCTGAATTTATTGCTACAGTGGCTAATTTGGGTCCCAGTGAAAGATTCAATGACAAATGGCATCTTTGCACATTTGTGGGGAACAGATGTACTGCATGTGTGTCTGCACATGAAACATTCTTCATGCAACATTCGTCATGGTCGGACTCAACAGCCATAACAAA